AAAACGAGGTACTGATCCCAAAGATTCAACTACAAGAGAGTTCATAATTTAGTAAATAAATAGCTATAAGATTACCTACCATATATTCATAACATATTAAAATGAACCAATTAACTATAACCTTGAGACAATACTTTATGTGAGTTTAAAACCCGAAAAGCCAAACGTACCATCATGTTCAGTCACTTGGAATGTAGAAGCAGCGGGATGATCCTTGAGGTCTAAGAGAGTGCTGTTGACACGTAGAGTCCCCATAGAGTGTCGAGCACTAGCTAGATCAAACCATCCCTGGAATCAAAGAAAACACACATTCATAGAATTCCCTAAGGAAAGAGTAGTGAAACAGATTCATGTATATAAGGTAATCAACTAAACGGTTTTCTCAGATTCAGTCTTATACAACAGAATATTTATAAGCTAATCTAACGATCCCATTACCTCTCTTAGCTTTGAATTGAGAGAATCCATAAGCGTTAAATACTCATCCAATGAATCTAAGAAGTGCAACACCTTCTCATCTCCTCCTCCACTTTTTTCAAGCTCAGCTTCGTTATTCACATCAACGGAATCCTCTCCTTCCTCGTAAATCTCAGTTCCTTCATCTCCCGCCATCGCAAATTTCGCTCCAAAACGCAACAATGAACAGATCAAAGCTAATCAATGGAACAATAAACACCAGAACGTGGTAAGAGAGAGAGAGTCGAGTAAAGAGGGGCTATTTTCGTAATTTTCCATTGATAAGGAGCCCAATAATCTTATAAAAAGCCCATTAGCCCAACTCAAACGATTCCCTGGGTCTAAGCTAATCCCGGTTTACTTATTATGTATGGGTGGATAATAAACCACCCGACGCGATATACCCGGTTAGGAATCTAGAGGGGTGTAAGTGTGAACGGCGACAGGCTGTAATGTCAAGTTGGCGTTTGGTGGCTCCACGTCTCTCTGATGACTTTTCGAATTAAGTCAGCGTCTCCTCCTTCCCTTTTCCTCCAAACCCTTCTCTCCTCTTCATTCCTCTAGCTTTTACCCGTCTCTCTCTCTCTCTCTCTCTCTCTCTCTATCGCTCTACGCACGAGGAGGCTGTTGAATTCAAGTTACGAGGAGCAAGCTCGACTGCTTTTTAAACTGGATCCATGGAACTCACACTTTCCAGAGATTAACAACAGGTTGCTCATCTTCTAAACCAACTTACAAGACTTAAAAAGAGTTTTGTATCCTTCCTTCTCTCCAGCTCTGAGGCGCTTCTCCGATCGCAATTGCTTTGGTATGTGTATGCCTTTTTTATTTCTTTTCAAAATGAGATTTAACAAAGTGTTGTTAACTTAGGGCTTTTGTATTCTTCCTTCTCTGTAGAGACACGCTTCTGCGATCTGAATTGCCTTCTTTTGAAAATGCTTTCAAGATATAGTTACAATTATTTCTAAATTAGGTAATCTTGCTATTTTCAGATTTGATTCGAATCATTTACTACTCCAAAGATTCTTGCTTTTCCCTCCGTTTCGAATTAATTGTCATTCTAGAGAACAAAATTTGTTTCAAAATAAGTACGGTTTTAGTGTTCGAGTCAAAATTTATTAGTTTCATATGATTTTCTATTTTCTATTGGTCGAAAAATATTTCTTTATAGGTAATTATGGTTTTATATCGAAAATATTTTACTTGTGTAAAAAACTAGAATGACAATTTAAATGAAACTGGAAGGAGTAATTATCAAGCAACTTAAGCTAATTCTGGTATTATTGTCTCTTAAAAAAATGTCTGCTTGCATTTACTATCGAATCCGTACCAAACTCTTAGCATTTAAGATTTTCAATTTCATGATCCTATGCTTAAGCAAAGAGTTTAAAGATAATGTATTGTACTGTGACTGTGCAGGAGACAAGCCAAAAAATGGCGGGAAGCTGGGACGGAAGCCAATCAGACGACAGCTCACACTTCGAGAGAGGCGTCGACCACATCTACGAAGCATTCATCTGCCCTTTAACCAAAGAAGTCATGCACGACCCCGTCACCATCGAAAACGGTCGAACATTCGAGCGTGAAGCCATTGAGAAATGGTTCAAGGAATGCTCAGACTCTGCCAAACCTCCTTCTTGCCCCTTAACTTCTCAGACGCTGACTACCGCTGATGTTAGCCCCAGCATCGCTCTGCGCAACACTATCCAGGAGTGGAGATCGAGGAATGACGCTGCGAAGCTCGATATTGCTCGGCAGGCCCTGTTTATAGGGAACGATGAGAGTGATGTGTTGCAGGCTTTGATGCATGTGAGGCAGATTTGCAGGAGTGTTAGGTCGAATAGGCAGGGCGCTGTGCGTAACTTTCAGCTTATTCGTATGATTATTGATATGTTGAAGAGTAATAGTCATAAAGTGAGGTATAAGGCTTTGCAGACGCTTCAGGTTGTTGTTGAAGGTGATGAGGAGAGCAAGGTTTGTCTTCTTGTTTCTTGTTTAATCTTCTGATGTTGCATTGTAACGGTAGATTCAGTAGCCTAGGGCATTCGGTTCTTGGTTCGGTTCTTTTGGTTCGGTTCTTGGTTCGGTTCTTTTGGTTCTTCGGTTCTAGAAGTTTAGAATCGGTTTGGGTATTTTGAAAATTTGGTTCGTTTTCGGTTCGGTTCGGTTCGGGTAACAAAGTTGACAACTGGCTAATACTCGAGGTAATTTTGGATCTCATTTGGTTCCGTTTTTTTGGTTAGTTCAGGTTAAAAAGTGAAAATTCGGGTTTTCCAATTGAATATCAGATTTTTTCTCTTTTCGGCTAAAAAATTGGATAATTAATTAAAATATTTTGGATAAAATGTATTCGGTTGATAATTAATATTTTAAAATTATTTGATTATTGTAAAATTTAAAATAGTCAATATTTATAAATCTATAAAGTATATTATAGAAATTCGGTTTAGGATAAATGTGTCCATGCCTTACTCAAGCGAGTGTTAATGAAAAAGTGTCACTATCTTGCAGGAGATACTAGCTGAAGGGGATACTGTGCGTACACTGGTTAAGTTCTTATCCCACGAGCCATCAAAGGGGAAGGAAGCAGCTGTTTCTTTGCTGTTTGAGCTCTCCAAGTCTGAAGCTTTGTGCGAGAAGATTGGTTCGGTTAACGGAGCACTTATTTTATTGGTTGGTCTGACAAGCAGTAACTCAGTAAACGTCTCTATTGTTGAGAAAGCTGATAGAACATTGGAGAACATGGAGAAGTCTGAGGAGATTGTTAGGCAGATGGCTTCTTATGGTAGACTCCAGCCTCTTCTTGGCAAAATCCTTGAAGGTGATTGCTTTATCATTCATTCCCTACTTTCTTTATTTGATCTAAGTCTTGATTATGAAATGAAAATGTGAAAACATGATGTTGCAGGTTCACTTGAAACGAAACTCTCAATGGCTAACTTTCTTGGGGAGCTTTCCTTAAACAGTGATATGAAGGTTCTTGTGGCTCAGACTGTGGGCTCTTCTCTAGTTGATCTTATGAGAAGTGGTGACATGCGCCAACGTGAAGCTGCCCTGAAAGCTCTCAATAATATCTCATCTTTTGAAGGGAGTGCTAAGGTTTTGATCGGGATAGGGATTCTCCCTCCACTGATCAAAGATCTGTTCTATATAGGCCCAAACAACCTTCCAATTCGGTTGAAAGAAGTCTCTGCCACTATTCTCGCTAACATAGTGAACATTGGGTATGACTTTGACAAAGCCACTCTTGTTTCAGAGAACAGAGTAGAGAATCTTCTCTATCTGATAAGCAACACTGGTCCAGCGATCCAGTGCAAGCTCTTGGAGGTTCTTGTTGGACTCACTAGCTGTCCAAAAGCAGTCATACATGTTGTCTCTGCTATTAAAACCTCAGGTGCAATCATCAGTTTGGTTCAGTTCGTAGAGGTCCGAGAGAATGATGATCTGCGTTTGGCTTCCATAAAGCTTCTCCATAACCTCTCCCCATTCATGAGTGAAGAGCTAGCCGGGGCCTTACGTGGCACTGCTGGACAACTAGGGAGCCTTGTTGCCATCATTTCAGAAAAGACACCAATCTCTGAAGAACAGGCTGCAGCCGCTGGGCTCTTAGCTGAGTTGCCAGAGAGGGATTTGGGTCTTACTCGAGAACTGTTAGCAGTTGGTGCCTTCGAGAAAATCATCTCCAAAGTGCATGGAATACGCCATGGGGAGATCAAAGGGATGAGGTTTACGATGAATTTTCTTGAAGGACTTGTGCGTATACTCTCCAGGATCACTTTTGCATTCAACAATGAGCCTAGAGCCGTCACTTTTTGCCGTGAGTACAATGTTGCTTCGCTCTTTATCCAACTGCTTCAGACCAACGGTCAAGATAACATTCAGATGGTTTCTGCAATGGCTTTAGAGAATCTTTCACTAGAATCTGTAAACCTCTCACAGATGCCTGAGCTGCCTCCTCCAAACTTATGTGGCTCCATCTTTTCATGTATGAGCAAACCACCTGTTATAACCGGTCTATGCAAGATCCATCAAGGAGTATGTTCGTTAAGAGAAACGTTTTGCCTCGTTGAGGGAGAAGCTGTGGAGAAACTAGTGGCTTTGTTGGATCATGAGAATGATAAAGTGGTCGAAGCCTCTCTTGCAGCTCTTTCGAGCTTACTAGAAGACGGGTTAGAAGTGGAGAGAGGAGTCAAGATACTTGATGAAGCGGACGGGATAAGACATATACTAACCGTTCTAACAGAGAACAGAACAGAGAGGCTTACCAGGAGAGCGGTTTGGGTGGTGGAAAGGATCTTGAGGATTGAAGATATAGCGAAAGAAGTCGCGGAAGAACCTAACGTGAGCGCTGCACTTGTGGACGCTTTCCAAAACGGTGACTTCAGAACAAGACAGATCGCTGAGAATGCGTTGAAGCACATTGATAAGATCCCAAACTTCTCAGGTATATTCCCAAACATGGCATAGAAGGGAGATGTCTTTTAATCTGTCCAGTGAGTTTTTAGTGATTTTATAAACTTTTGTGGTTTTTGAGGGGGTTATTTGTTAATAGCATCCAGTTTTTTTTTCTGGTATATTGTAAATTTCTATTCTTGTTTGCGTGTGCTGTAAGGTATTTGATTTGAATCATTTGATCAGTCTCTGAGTACAAAGGCTTTGTAGTGACGGAAAACACTTTCTATTTTTCTTGTTAACTATGTAATTTAGGAAAAAAGTTTATAAGGAGGCAAAGTCTAATAGCTAGGTTGGTTTAAGTTGGAAAAAAAAAAGTTTAATAGGTTGACTTGAAAAACGAAAATTTCACAAATTGTATTATTTATTTCTCGTAGAAACTTGATTAAATCCTCATTGGCAACCAAAAGTTGAAACAGTTTGTTTCAGAAAAAGGGAGAATTTATTTGGAGATTTGTTTAGTATGTCATGCCATGAGACCAAACTAAAACGACTTGCTTTTTATGCATGTATGTATGGTCTTTTTTTCACGGACGTCTATTAATTAAGCGATCTCATCTATGAGAAAGATAACACCCAACGATGGAGACAAAATAAGAATATTAGAGGAGGATAAGTTTATAAAACTGAAATAACATTCAAGAAGAGACATTGAACACTTAATTAGGTTAGAATCTGATAATCATGCTTAGGGGAGAGATAAGTTTGTCAGCACGAACCATGATCTTCACGACGTCCAGCTCTATCGTAGTCGTAGCCCTCACCTTCTCTACGTCCAACACTACTTCATTCACTATTCGCCTCACTAGGATCCATTTAGGATCTTCAAAAAATATTTTCTAAGGCATAGACGCAAAGATGGATGATCACTAATCAAAGATCATGTATTTCAATATCAACCACGAGGACCAAGAATCAAAAATCAAGGTTTTTAATATCATCAATAGTATGTACATTGGATAAACATTAACAAATTCACATATTATTGGTTACTTTTGGCGGCTTTCACTTAAACTCCCACGTGTAATATATGCATAATAAGTCTTAAAGCAACGGTTTACTTCCAACATAGCAGGGTCTATTCTTCTGAAGAGTTGAAATAATCCAGGCCATTTTGAAAAGTTGAATGTATTAGAGGTGAGAGAAATTGCCAAAGTCATTGTCATAAACCTAAGATGTGGCATAGAGCAATCTCGTGCGCACAATTGATTGAATTTAGTCAATTTCAATGCATCTTCGTCGAGGCTGCATTATTTATCAAAGTCGCAATTGATTGATTAGTGGAAGAACGAAGTTTCCTCCTTGTTTTGACTACATACTAGTAATGGGAGATGATTATAGTCTTTCCCATAATCATTTAAATATGGTCTGCGAAAAGTGTTTGTATAGTGACATGTTTATATGTGATCTTCCTACTAATTATCCAAAATTTAATAAATTTAACGATAGAAAGATAAAGCATGTGTGGAGAACGAAGTGGGCGGTGGGAAATATAGGAAGTGGAGTGTGCACCGAGAAGAGAAAGAGTCAACCAGAAATTTAATACTAATTTAGAACTTCTTTTAAATCCAGTTACTATGTTTAGAAACTTCTAATTTCACACGTTTCCTCCTTACATACCTCTCTTAGCATGGATTATTATTATACGTATTAGTATCCTTTTTAATACCTTTTGGGAAGGTTTATACATTATATGTTGATTAGTATGTATACACTTAATCATTAGCAATATTTCTGTTATCAGCTAAATATTTGTAAGCTTCAAATGTATATTGCATTTAAGGTGTTTCTATGGTTTCCACAAGAAGATTTTTTTAGAAAGTACTAATGTCCTGAATGTTTTATACAATGCAAAATATGTACATAAAATCTGAACAAAAAACTTTTAACGAAAATTTGACAAGTTTCTCTCCACTTTCTTCACCCAATCGCTGAGTGTTACACCTGTTATTTTGAAGTTAGTTATATGTATCATCATCGTTGAGACAAAAAATTAAAACACCATTAACAAGTCACACGAGGACGACCATATATTTGGCTAATAATTCTTGTTACGATTCTTCACATAATTTTTTTATTTATTATTATTCATAAAATATCTCTATAAACATATAATTCAGCTCAAATCATACAAAACTTGTAATGAAATCGGTAGTACGTATTCACATTTACCGAAATGGAGTATATACTTAAGATATGTCCCATGTATATATTCACATTGACAATTCTACAGGGTTTTACTTAAAGTTTAGCAATCTTCATTTTCTCATATCGACATGTGTTTAGATAGTATGTGCAGTGGTGGCAGAATGTGTTTGCCTTAAGTTGTCTTTATTAAAGAGCTTAAGATATTTTTCCATAACGATAATATCTATATTTTGGGTGTTTGCTAACATTAATCATCTAGCATTAACGATTAAGAATCGATTCTATAATTCTCCACGTACAAGGAGAGTCGTCATGAAGTTCTCTACTACCAAAATTATCAATTGGGTAGATACTTAAACAACCGAATAACTAGTTTAACCTAACTAAATTCCATATTAAGAAAATGATTAAAGTATAAACCGTCGACATTAAAAAGCTTCTTGAGTGCAAATTGTAGGATCTTACTATGGACGGTTTGAGTTAATTCAGCATCTAATAACATTTTGCAATACCCTTTTTTTACCAATGGCATCTCTGATCTTCACAAAGACTCAACTTTTTTATTCATTTCGTATAGCCACTACATTTTACAACCATCCATTCATTTTTATTTATTTTACTTTCCGGTCAAGAGAACATTCACTTTTGTACTTTGAATGGACCATGTGACAAAATAAATAAATAACCTAATTCCGCATAATCATAAAATAAGCATATTAGCTAACTAATTGCATTACTTAATGTCAAATTTGACTAAAGAGTGTAACAAAAGATACACTAGTTTAACTGAATCAAACAATAAACAATTACTTTGTCATGTTTTGGACTATGTGAATGATCTTTACAAGTGAAAGGCAGACAACTATTGAGTAACTGACCGAATAATCTTCGTTTATTGTTCCAATTGTCAAACAACAGAAAACCACACTCCCACATTTGTTACACTAAAGATGGTCACACTCACACCACTAGTTATACAATCTCTTACATGCATGTATAGTATATGTATAATTTTTCTCCAGAGACTGAATTAACGATCTAAAGATGTAGTTATGTCATAATGTTTCCTTTATCCCGTTCTACAGAACTATTAATCTAGACTTGTTTTCCTGTTAAGAAAGTTAAAATGAATATTGACCATTTGTTCATATCAATAAAACTAGAGTTTGATTCATTAACTGATGAGTACTTTTAAAGAAACTGAGCATAAATACTAATTTATTAGTATTCATATGTAGATTATGAAATTACATTCACGTTCGGCTTTATGTAATTGGTTGTGTAAATAACAGAAATTAAAATTTTGCTCATAAACTATTACAACTATATTGTACAATTTTAATGCTGTTAAATTTTATATACTGTGTGTCTAAACCAATGACTAGGCATGGGCATATTATCCATAATCCGAAACCGATCTCGAATCCGAACCGAAAAACCCGAACCCGATCGGTTATGGATCTTTCAAAATATTTGATCGGGTCTGATATGATGATACTTTGGTTATCGGATTCGGGTTCGGTTTAATCCGATATCCGAACTAAAACCCGATATAACCGATTATATGTATAATGTACATTAAGTATATACACATATTAACCATTATTTGATTTTGACAATTTCCAAGAAGGCTCAACCACGCTTTGTTATTTTCAATTCTAAGACACAATTAAGTCTAGACACAACTACACCTTTCATAATAACCTTAGGGGTGATTCCTCTTCTTCCTAGTTTCAAAAACCTAATCTCCTATTAAAATAAGGTGTTTAATCGAAGAGTATGTTCAGAGATACAAACATGCAATTCTCTCTATCTCCTCCACCATCTTTTATTTCAAGAACTCAAACCGAGGTAAGGACTTGATTTTCAGAAATCAATCTGAGTTATCTGTGTCATATGAATCGTAGTAATCTGTTTGCGGTTTTGTCTCAGTTTGTTTTCCATTTTAAAACTTTATGTTGCTATTATCGGTATTGGTGTGTTGTTGCAAACAGTTTTACTAAGTTTGAGTTTATTAATTTTGAGAGACATGTTTCTTAGTTCTTATCTAGTCAACTTATGAGTGTTTGTTTATTTTTTTCTTTGAATTTTACTTTAGTTAATCCAAAACTGATACAGTAAAACCCGAACCCAAATGATATATGGTAACTTCAGTATAATCCGAACCCGAACCGAAACCGATGTGTTATATCCGATCCCGATCCGAATTTAAGAATTTCTTAAAATGGGACCTAAGAGGTGTTACAAAAAAGAACCGATATCCGATATACCCGATCCGAACGGGTACCCGAACGCCCAGGCATACCAATGACTGTGAGTTTTACTTCTGAGCCACCGCTAAAAACATTAATGGCAAAGCTAAATAAATACAAACTATCTTCATGAGTCTTCGAGTATAACTTTCAACTAACTATCAAATAATAATAAATATTTTTTTTTACCCAACTGAATAATAAATAATTTTAAAACTAGAAAAATGACCAAAAGAACCTTAACCGACAGCGATATATTACTAAGACCAGGAGAACTCTCTGCTCTATATAAAGCTCTGCTCCTCCTTGCCTCTCCAAGAACCCTCTCAAACTCAAATCAAAGTCCTTCAACTTTCTCATAATTCTCAAACTACCCCAAAACTCTTCTCCCCTTTTCTCTCTCGAAATGGCGCGCCTTCTCTTCCGTCTCCTCGGCGAATCTAACTCTCCGTTGCCGGTGTCGGATCCCTCCACCGCCGCCGTGACTTCCGATCTCGTCGTCATCCTCGCCGCTCTCCTCTGCGCCTTGATTTGCTTCCTCGGTCTGATCGCCGTTTCTCGATGCGTCTGGCTCCGTCGTCTCGCCGCCGGTAACAGAACCTCCGAAGGTGGCTCCGGTCAATCTCCTCCGCCGCCGGTAGCAGCGGCGAACAAAGGACTGAAGAAGAAAGTGCTCCAGTCTCTCCCGAAGCTGACTTTCTCGCCCGAATCACCGTCGTCGGAGAAGTTCGCCGAGTGCGCGATCTGTCTGACGGAGTTCTCTAACGGCGATGAGCTCCGGGTGTTACCGCAGTGTGGTCACGGATTCCACGTGTCTTGCATTGACACGTGGCTTGGGTCTCATTCGTCTTGTCCTTCTTGCCGTCAGATCTTGGTGGTTGCCAGGTGTCATAAGTGTGGAGGTTTGCCTGGTAGCTCTAGCTCCGTACCCGAATCCGAAATTGAAATCCGAATCAAGCAAGGGGAAGATGATTCAAATTCCTACTTGCCTTGATTTATTTTTTAATTTCGTTTTAAAACCTTCGTATTTTAGATGTCTCTATAATTTTAAAGTAGATTATTTGTAGAGGAAAATGTTTTTATTCTCTTAATGTACATGTTTATTGTAATTTGTAAATGTTATATGAAAATGTATTACTCTCTTTATCAATTACAAGAAAGGCATAAAAAAAACATTTGTTCATTAAAAAATATTTTACCCAATATTTTTCAAGTTTGAAAGTTTTTACTTTATAATATTATCAAAATTATAATACTGATCATACAAACCACATAGCACAAATTGTTACATAAACAATGCATCATGTTGAAAACGGTTTAAAATTCATAACGGATCCTAATTAAAAAAACTTTACTCATTAACGGGAAAACATATTTATAATTATTTTATGATACATTTATAAACTCAAATTAGTTATTTAATAGATAAATTTTATTCAGAAATAGTCAGCTTTAACCACTATGTTAATTAACTTGGTTAGAATATATTATATATACGAAGCTGGAGTGTACAGTGGAATTTCAAACTATTAATGCCCGAATGCTAATAAATCATTTGATTACGCAACAAAAACCCATTTGAGTACAATCTCTATTTAAAAATAGAGCACCAAAATACTAACATTTACTATTTTGTCAGTTGCTCACCTGATTTTATAATTTCGTGCTAACTATAGAATATTCACTGATAAATGGGAAATGAAATGGCCAGTGTGCGTACTACAAATGGCATCTAATGTATAGGCTGGGTTATATTATACCTTTCCACATTATTTTATTTATAAAGCAGTTATCGTGTTTCTTCAACTTCTTTTAGGGGTTACAGAATTTTGGTATCACGAGCCTGTGATCCACTAAATCAAATGAATTCATAAATTTTCTAATACACAATGTAGTGAATCATATTTAAGCACAAGTCAAATTCACTATTGGAATATATAACAAATTGATATATTGGTAGTTTGGGTTAGGTTATATAATTGAAAGAGTCAAGATGACCGCAAGAAATTATTTTTGTGGCTCCTCTACCTTTTTGAGCTTTGACCTAACAAATAGATTACGGTATCCTGTATATATATATTTAGAGTTTAGGTTAATGTATAATTGTACATATTTATAATTTGATGCTTAATTTTTTTTTTTTGGTGTGGTAACAGTTGAGTGATTTATAGTTATTTTTTGTCAGTTATTTAGAAAGGGTATTATTCGTTTATCAGGGGAGCCATTGAATTAAAACAGGGCTGGTCCACCATATAATCACAAACATTTCCACTACGGAAAGTGCGTCCTTGTGCTTAGTGCTACTAAGTACTAATCATATTATATACATATTGATATTTTAATTTGACAGAAAACTATGACCATTAACCTGATGTTCAACAAAAACTTATGAGCATCATTCTAAAGCTCAGTTTAGTGGACTGTGAGAAAAAAACATCCTTGTGCATGCGAATTTCCAAATTTACTAAATCATTATTTATCACTAAGGATAAAATAAGTCAATACGAGAAACATAATATATATTGTTGGTAACTGATACGTACGACCATTTTTGCAGGGATTACAATATGCACTATTATCATTATACCTAACGATAACAAACAAAGTATAACTAATGCCTGCATTAAAAATGACATGCAAGTGTATTCTCATCGATCATTTGAGTTGCAACAAAAAAAATATGATCTCATTCTCATGGCCATCAAAGAGAAGTACGTAGAAACATAAAGTGAAGAAAGAGATGCTTTATGTTATGTTGATGGACTATAAATTCGCATACTAAAATGATGAGAGAGGTAAAGTTTACCAATGAGACTGGAGATTCCCACATGTATATGTTCTACACTATAATGTGCATTACTGAATATAATACAGCTTTTAAAAATGGGTGTCGTGAAATAATTTGTTTGGTAGTAAAAGTGAAATAAATCTTTGCTCTTTGCTAAAGATAAAACAGTATTTCATGTCTAGCTAATATTCTTACACCAGTGTGCTTGCTTATACAAATTTAGGCGTCTTTATTTGCTACATAAAATAACATGTAAAGAATTAGTGTTTACATTACATGTGTGGTATATAAACATATACAGTCAATTGACCAAAAAAAAAGATATAAAATCCAACATAGCAAGGAATCCATCAAACTCTGCACTTTGTAATGAGTGTCGACCTTATTGCACAACTAGAAAGTTTCATTACTAGCGTGTGGTCCTATGATTTCGCCTTATGTATACACAGTTTAATTGATCGCTTATGAATGATTATAAAAGTTCTGCGAATATTGATAGTGGTGTGAAGAAAGAGAATTGTTTTTTTGTCAGAGAATGTTGACCGAGGAATAAATAGTTTTTTGGGTCTTTCTTGGATTCTTTCGACCCAACCTCGCATCCAAGTGGCCCACTTCCTTTGTTTAATTGGATTCTCCATAACGGCCGTGGATATGCGTGCCGTTTTCTGCGCATTTCCACCTGCCGTTTTCGTATTATAAGATGCAAAAAATAAAAAATAGGGGATTGCCGAATAATTTCGGGATTTTGAACCCGACGTGAATCGAACACGCAACCTTCTGATCTGGAGTCAGACGCGCTACCATTGCGCCACGGATCCCCATGTCTGTTAGTTACAGATGTAGCTATTTAGCTGAAGACAGATAACGGTAATGCTGGCTCTGTTGCTGATCTTGTGAGACAAGGCCAGCTGAAAGCTGGTAATAGAAGAGGCATATTTGAAACTATCTCACGCTCTCTTCCATCTTGTTTCAGTCTAAAACTCCCAAACTTTTAAATTAGGTGTGTGTGTGTGTGTGTGTTGCTTTTTGTTTTACTTGTCATTCTCATGGTGACTGGTGTTTTGTCATTCAACAACTATTTTGTTAAAGTTGGTAAAAGAAGCTCAGCAGTAGAGTTGTGGCCTTGTGGGGAAAAGTTTATCGGCTAGCTCCGGTCACACTTACAGTCAGAGACGCACAAGTTGCCGTCTAAGTAATCAGGCAAGCTCGAAGAAGAGAATATCCAGGAGATTCATACTGTCACTTCATCCTATGAGGAGATAAACAAGTCTTGAGACGGACTAAGCTTTGTATATATAGCCTTGAGAATCAAACTTGCGTCCCAAGAAACCGGAAATATTTTGTAGTGAACCTTCAAAAACCCTAAATCTCTGTTTTGCTTTTCCCTGGAGAGATAAAGAGCTTGAATTTATCTCAAATCTGTGAACGTACTATTTCACGTGTTTCCACCTCAAATGGATCTTATGATATGCTTTTATGTTGATTTTGTCTCTACATCGTTTATAATGCCCTGTATATACAGAACCAGTGAGTTTTCAAATGGAACTTTTACATGATTCATGTTTTAAATGTTCCACTTATGATGAAAAAATGATGCTTAGTTACTTCATAGTGGTTGGTTGTCATCAAAATAAAGTAAGTTTTAAGTACACGAAGATATTATCCACATTACATTGTTATTAGATATCTTGGTGGATTGACAGGTCAATCTTTGTTCTTGACAAGACAAACACTTAACTGTAATCCCATGTGTTCATCAGGAGAGGCGGCCGGTCAGCGATTGTGGGCTTAGTATGGGTTTGAGTAGGAGCATAACTATATTTCATTCCAGAAGCCTCTGATAATTGAGCTTCTGGCCGAAGTAGAGGGTTCTGATGCTGATGTAGAGAACTTACTAAAGAAACATATACAATTTATTACTTGGAGTCAAAGTAACCACAAGGAATACAAAACTAAGCTTAAAGATACAGATATTATACAAGTTCCAGATTCAAAAAACTTTAAAGCAAAGAGACCAACAACATATATCAAAAACTTCAGCCTATATAAACTAACCCTTCTCTTACAACTCTACCAACTAACAAATTACAAACTTTGAGTTACCCAAATGGCTACAAGAATTCTCTGTTTTGCTCTTGCCTTATCCGCTGCGTCTCTATCCTTCTCCTTCGCTGCTTCCCCCGATTTCTCCATCGTTGGATATGCCCCTGAAGATTTAGAATCTCATGACAGACTCATAGAACTCTTCGAAAACTGGCTCTCCAACTTCGAGAAAGCTTACGAAACCATAGAAGAGAAGTTGCGTAGGTTCGAAGTTTTCAAGGACAATTTGAAGCACATCGATGAGACTAACAAGAAGGCCAAAAGCTACTGGCTTGGTCTCAACGAGTTTGCAGATTTAAGCCACGAAGAGTTCAAGAACAAGTACTTGGGACTCAAGACTGATATAGTGAGACGTGATGATGATGAAAGATCTTACCAAGAGTTCGCTTATAAAGACGTTGAGGCTTTGCCTAAATCTGTTGACTGGAGAAAGAAAGGAGCCGTTAGCTATGTCAAGAACCAAGGCTCTTGTGGTAATCTCAAATCTTGGACTCTTATATATGTTATTAAGTCTCCTCTTTTTTTAATTTAATTTTTAATGTTTTGTAGGAAGTTGTTGGGCGTTTTCGACAGTAGCTGCAGTGGAAGGTATAAACAAGATTGTGACAGGGAACTTGACAACATTGTCTGAACAAGAACTCATAGACTGTGACACAACCTACAACAATGGCTGCAACGGTGGTCTCATGGACTATGCTTTTGACTACATTGTCAAGAACGGAGGTCTTCGCAAAGAAGAGGACTATCCATACTCCATGGAAGAAGGAACTTGCGAGACGCAAAAGGATGAATCTGAAATGGTGACTATCAATGGACACCAAGATGTACCTACCAATGACGAGAAGAGTCTATTAAAAGCATTGGCTCATCAGCCTCTAAGTGTGGCTATTGATGCATCTGGTAGAGAGTTCCAGTTCTATAGCGGTGTAAGTAAATTTTCAAAACTAATGATCAAGAAAATGATTGATCAGTATTGGTTCTTGACTGTGTTTTGGTATTGTGTGAAGGGTGTCTTTGATGGGCGGTGTGGGGTGGATTTGGACCACGGTGTGGCTGCGGTTGGGTACGGAACAAGCAAGGGTTCGGATTATATCATAGTGAAGAATTCTTGGGGACCAAAGTGGGGAGAGAAAGGTTACATTAGGATGAAGAGGAATACTGGTAAACCAGAAGGTCTCTGTGGTATCAACAAAATGGCTTCCTTCCCCACCAAAACTAAGTGATGAGATCATTCTATCTTATCTGCATTTGATCACTATTGATGTGAATGTTATCATGAAATTGGAACAAGTGTTGTAACAATTATTGGGAATAATAAGTTTAGTGTTTTCGGTTTATCACAGATTAAAGAGTATAACTAGTAACAACCTTAGTGCTTCCGCTAGTTAACACACAGACAATCTTAACATAAAGACATTGTAGGCTCAATAGTGAGAGGAGGGCTAGTTAGAAAATTCAAGCAAAAGCAACAGCGTCATGTCAAAAAAAATTGAGAGATAATGTCAGTAGATAACTTTTTCATTTGAGGCCTAGCTTCTGTATCCCATTAACAAAAGATTTTTACAGAGATTCTAGTGTTAATTAGCTTGAAGGAACCTCTGGCTTTTGTCTGATGACAACAGCCTCGAAGATACCATCTGATCTGAAGTTAGGAGAGACTAGACGCGGATCAACTGGACCTGGGAGGTTAAAGGACAGCTTGAACGGTCCAGAGGGACACAGCTTCCGGTTAATCATCTTGAAAACACGAGAATGCCTCTCTATCGTCTTCTGTCCTGTCTTAATTGATCCCTCCAGTGTAACCTTTCCATCTGATGCAATCTCACAGCTGAACTCACCTGTACAAACACACAAATGAGACTTATGTAAAAAAACAGTTAGATTGGGTAGCAGAGATGAAATATAATATACCGTTATCTTTGCTGACACCGGGGAGAGCAACCTGAAAGAAGTAAGCAACTTCGTTGACACCAATGTCCACAGAACCAAAGGATGTTCCTCTACTGATTGTTCCTGTAGTTACAACCGCCGGTTCTGACTTCATCTCAGGAGGAACAATTACAAGTGGTAGACTTGTGGGTTGATGATCTGTTCTGTCTTCGTCCATAAGAGTTTCTCCGTTATTTACCTTTGTTGATGAGTTCTTGAACCGTCTTCTCTTGTAAGTCTCTCGAAATCTTTCTGGTGTCTTACTGATGATTCCACAAGAAGCATCTTCTTCATCTTTCTTTCTCTTACATGTTTCTAGAGGCTCTGCAGATGTGTTGCACTCTTGGTTAGTGACAAGTCCATTGGACATGATGTCTCCTGAAAGTCCTTGTGGGATTTGATTACTGATTACACAAACAGCATCAGTAGCAACTGCTTCCTCCTCTTTCTTTCTTTTGCTATTGTCTTCAAGTTCTTCAGATGAATTGACCACTTGGTTATTGCCAAGCCCATTAGGTGTCACATTCCCATTACTTAAACAGTCCTGCTCACTTCCTCTGCTTTCATTCACAGGTAGAGGAGACAAAGACGCAACCTTATCTATCCTAAGGTCATCCAAACGTGACAATAATCTGAATCTCTGAAGCTCTTCTTTTCTAATAAACGTTAGAGCAGGATCCTCAATAACAACAATGCCCTTGACAATCTCGAGACTCGGGGAATACCTTTTCTGCGGGTGAAGATTCGTAGGGAAATAATGAGTGAACTGATGAAGCTCCCTACTAGGCTCCATAGGTAGATAACCCTTGAGATACATAAGAACCATATCAGGATGAAGAAGGAGGGTGGAGTTGGCGTTTCTGAGTACATAATAGTACAAGTTCTGTAGCTGAGCAAGAGTTAGAGAGGATGCGCCAATGTGTTTTGGTGTGTAAGGAGGCAAGTTTTTGGATAATCTTTGAGAAGCTGAGCATCTTGGGTTATCAGAAAACACATCAGGACCTAGATAATTGCTCATGATGAAATTAACCAAGAAGTAGGGATCATCGCTTGATAATCCGTTACTACACGTTCTCATGTTTCCCCTCTGTAAGCAAACCTGCAATAATATTGCAAATGAAAGCTGCATAAGGGAAGCATAAAAGACATTCCAAATATGTTTTTCTTACAAAGAAAATAAATTATGAAATTCTCAAAAATTTGACAGATTGAATCAGTGCTAGTAGCTTTCTTGAGTTTGACTCTTTGGGGTGGGTCACTTATGCTTTGTAACAAATCTCTAATCATTTGTTATATGATCATCATCATTAAGGAGAGAAAAACATAACTGAACCCTAAAAATTCAATCATTAACAATAGAATAGACAAGTAAGTCACATTTACAAAAGCATCCTTTTTTTACCCAGAAAATAATTATAATCACACAAAAGTCATGCATGAAATGAGACTCAGATAGCCAACTGTTAGTTACAAAAAAGGATTCAGAACATTTGTTTTTTTTTTAAACACAAATCCATAGGTCACTACTACGGTTGATGAAGAATCTATCCATACTCTCTATGTCAAGCATCAATTTTTGTTTTGTTTTGCAATTGCAACCTTACAAAGCCCCAGAAATTTCAGAAACTAAGCAGCATTGTGAGTTGAACAAAAAAAAAAGTAAGCAGCATTGTGACTGAAAACGACAAGAAATCGGAAAACGTTGCTTTACCTGTCCCTTTGTGTTAATGCTGGAGAAGGAAGCAGGAGCAGAAGAGATTTTTGGGTGAAGGGGAAGCGAAAATGCGAAGAGAATGATGATGGGGGCCGCCTCCTTTGCTTTCTTACACGTGTTTTCCACGTGGGACCCAGCTAACAGCCTCACTTTGAGCCATCACCTGTCACCTGAGTCACCACGTGCCAGTGTTTAGGTAATTGGGCCTTTTATAAAAGTGAACGAGGCCCAAATATTTATTTATGTATAAAAGAAAACTAGTGTTAAAATCTATTAACAAAATAATTATCTATTTATTGATTAAGATCACTCAAATTTTCTTAAGAAAATCTATGCCAATCATTCTATATAATTGCAATGAATGGTATATAAACCTCAATATTAAATCAATTTCTAATTCTAGAGAATGTTCCATACAACATTTTTATTTTTGTATGTACTAACTTATCTATACATTTTTATTTTTGTATGTACTAAGTTCCATAGTCTAGAGAATGTTTGCAAAAAATAGGAAAATAATTTGATGTTTATGTGTCATTTTTACATTTAGATCACTGTAAAAAATATGTATTTATATCTCTGAGACATACATGCTGTGTATAGATAAGTTGGAGAAACAAAATTATATTAGATTACTCCAAAAAAACATGTCGAATCATTCACAGAGTCACATTTCCAGGAAACATAACATATCCAAAATACCTAACTCATCCAATATACTACTACAACTGAATCCAAACCAAGTTAGATGAACAGCATAAAGAAGCTATCAGCTGTAAGAGAAAGAAGATACAAACCACCTGTTTAAGCAACCATATGCTTCCTCTTGATATCATTTAACTTGGCACTTGGCAAGGTGGCTTTAACGATCACGATCTCCATCTTTGATTAGAAGATAAGATGGGAGAAACCGGGGAAGAATCAACGCGGCCACGAGACACAATACTACTAAGACCACCACTGACCAGCATGAGTATGCGATGCCTAATAGCAGTTCTTCACAAACTGTCACCATAGAAGAGTGTAAACCATTTGATTCACTACACGCTTCACGTTGTGACAATAATAAAATTGAAGAGCTAGTAAGTAAGAAAAAAAAAAACTTGCCTATGTTGTAAATAATGAACGACCGTTCTTTGAAATTAGGTATAGCTACGATTCCTTCAGGTTCAACAGTCACCAAAACATACAATCCTTCCTAAAATCAGACAAAACCAAAAAACACTCAGTGACTTGTTAATGAACTCACTGACTGAAAAGATGGTTGCAACTTGCAAATACCTTGTTATTAACTTCTTCATGACTCCCTGATTTGAAAATAAGCTTCTCAGTGTTTAGTAATCTCCTCATATGATTAATCTTCAAACCCATTTCACCATTCCTCAATAATTGCAGAGAGAACAGTGCCGGGATCTTTAACCATTTAAAACTAAAGATGAGACTTTCAACAAACACAAAATTTTTTTTCCAAAAGTCAAGAACAAGATTGTGACATACAGAAGCTGGATATGAGATCTTGACTTCATACCAAGAATTCGATTTAAGCCCTTCTAATCTGTAAACTCGAGAACCAGATTGCAACGGCAGAGTCTCCTTCCATAGTTCCTTCCCAGCATATAAAGTTTTGCCATCAGACCTGTTAAGAAAATAAAGAGTTATATCATTTCTATTGGTACCAATAAAGAAATTAAAGAGTAATTCTAAGAACACTAACAAGCTTTCATGGCTGTAGCAAGGCACAGCAAGCATGAAGAAGATAGGACAGAAGATCAATCTATCGATCATCCTCTACGAGCGATGGCTAAATTCCTGCAAGGAGGATCGATTCGATTACACTCGTTTCCGGCGACTTCGGAGGTTGATTCTAGAAGATCGTCGACGATAGGCAATATTCTTAATGGGCTTGTCTCTTAATTGGGCCAATACTTATTACAACTTTAACAAAAGCAAAAACAACCAAGATTACAGAAATCAAAAACCTCAAGGAGGCCTTGTACACCTAATTGAATTATACATAACTAAATTATATCTTTTTGCATACATAACTAAATTATAAATTTTATACACTAATAAAAAAATAAGTTTAATAGCAGTAACAAACAATATTAAGTAAATAAAGATTAAGTAAATTCAGCAAGCAACAACTACAAAGATTAATACTACTACCTACAAAACACGTATAGATAATGCAAAGAAAGAGTTTAGCTGATTAATACAACATGAAACAGCATGTAAGAGCCGTTTTACTCTGATATTCTTTCTACATCACAGAAACAAGAGAAGAAACATAAAGACATCACAGACAAAATACATACTTTCATATCATACACATTATTTTAAACTTTAATGATTATTTCAACCGTAAATAGATACCAGTGAATAGCAAAGGTTCAAGCAAGGTATATACACAAGAACGTTTTTAAAGATACACACGACACATACCTTGAGTGAAACGAGCTGAGTCTCCAAGGAAGAAAGCTCTTCCTGTCTCTCTTGGAGAAGTTTATCCTTGTCTGCTACCAACTCTTCTCTCCCTTTAACTTCTCTGCTTTTCTCATCAACAGAATAAACTTCAAATAACAACAGAAAATATGAAATTTTAGTCAGTTTTTTTTTTTCTTTCTCCACATAAAAAAATGACTTCAAACAATTACCCACATAATCTATGAATCCAACTGAATAAAAATGACTTCAAATAATTACCAAAATCAAACAGATTCAAATCACATGAAGCCATATTCTAAATCAAATCCACAGATTCAAACAAAAACTGACTAAGAAGCAAACAAATGATAAGAAGCTTGAGTTTGAGAGGAAACCTGATGATGGGTTTGCTGCAGAGATAAGAGATAGAGATAAGCTTGAGTTTGAGAGAAAACTGTCTCAGTTCTCAAAACCCTGAGAGAGACAAACAGAAATCAAGAGAGAGAGATTGAGAGATCGAGAGAAAGAAAGAGAGATATCGAGAGAGAGAGAGATTGAGAGATTGGAGAAAGAGAGTGTAACATCCCGGTTTGTGGTATTTGAAAAAAGGCTTAAGAGAATTGATTTGGCTACCTATGTCACCAAAGTGCACTTACCTTTTCGGGAGCACATCCAGAGAGAACTCCAGAGTTAAGCGTGCTTGAGCTGGAGTAGTCTAAGGATGGGTGACCTATCGGGAAGTGATCTGCGATACCGTGTAAGTGAGGCCAAAGCATGGGGAAAGGTCATGTGGTGATTGCAGGGTCAGTAAACATGACTCTAGAGCCTTGGTAAAATAACGGACCGGCCGTTGGAACGGGATGGGGCCCATGGGCCGAGTGAGCGGGCGTGGGCGGCCCATTAGCCGTGGGCGGTCGGGGCGTTACAAGTGGTATCAGAGCTGGTTAGCCATCTCAGTTCTGACCTGAAAGGCGTCTTGAGACCTGTCGGGGGCGCAACGAGGACGTTGCGTTCTTTGAGAGGGGGTGAATTGTAACATCCCGGTTTGTGGTATTTGAAAAAAGGCTTAAGAGAATTGATTTGGCTACCTATGTCACCAAAGTGCACTTACCTTTTCGGGAGCACATCCAGAGAGAACTCCAGAGTTAAGCGTGCTTGAGCTGGAGTAGTCTAAGGATGGGTGACCTATCGGGAAGTGATTTGCGATACCGTGTAAGTGAGACCAAAGCACGGGGAAAGGTCGGGTGGTGATTGCAGGGTCAGTAAACATGACTCTAGAGCCTTGGAAAATTAATGGACCGACCGTTGGAACGGGATGGGGCCCACGGGCCGAGAGAGCGGGCGTGGGTAGCCCATTAGCCGTGGGCGGTCGGGGCGTTACAGAGAGAGAGAGAACCTGAGAGGCTGAGAGATACGGCGAAGGAGCTTGAAGGAGAGAGAGAGATCAAGCTGAGAAAAGACGCGTTAGTTTTTTTTTTTTAGGTTTGTGTGTACCATTTTACAAAAAAAAAAAAGGGTTTGTGGGTACCCATTCATTCTATTGGGTTACCCACATAATATAATTTTTTTTCCATTTATTTATTGAAAGGGTAAAAACACAACCCAATGTTTGTGGGTTTGGGTACCCTCATGGGTAATTACCCAAGTTAACATCCCTACCTAATTCTAATTAATAAATCACCTTTAATTTTCACTGTATACCCATCACATATACAAATATAAGACCATAGGTGAATATTTCTATGAATCTTTCACCAATTAAAAGGAGAAATTGAAAGGTAAACACTCCTGAAAAGCATATTCAATGGTATATCAAAATGAGGGAAAACATAAAAAAAAAAAAAGAGAAAATTTCTCTAATAGTATATTATTTTTAGGGAATAAATGAATATGTGAATAATATTATAGCATATTTAAGGGAATATTATTCACAAACTCATTTTGATGTTAAATTTTTTATTTGCATAATAATTTCTCAATTTTTGATAAATTATTTTATGCGTTAAAAATTATTTACATAAACTAAGATAAAAATGATTTTGGTGACGAGATCATGAAGAATATTGCTTTGAAGTTTTAGATAAGGACCAAAGTAATGTTACATATTTCATGTTGGTTACATATCAATTAGTGATCTTAACTTGGGAAAAATTAACTAGAACATGAATAATTGGTAGTATCAATTTTTGCTTCAAGATAACAAAAAGAGATTTTGATTACTAAAAAATGTGAAAAAGAGGAATAATTCAATTCCCTAGGTACAGATTTATTGAATAGGTTCAAATAATGAAGCTTAAATGTGTATTTAAAAGATTACAAATATGCTAACAAAAACTTATAACCAGAATATTTTAGATAACCAATATCAACTCCAAAAGAGAAGTGGGTTTGCAAAATTGCAATTAAGATTTTATGATATAGATATAGTATGATTCTTATAAAATGATGTAGTTCTACTCATTCTAATAGTCAACCAAATAACCCTGCATCTCTCTATGTTAATATTTCAGTTGTGTTGGTAAATATACATTCAGCCAGAATTGTTCTTATATATAGTCAAATTCTCATTTGTCTGTGCTACACCAATTTGAAGATAAGCAATTGTCTTTCTCTTATGATTTTCACTAGAAACTTTATTAACGATAAAAGACGCACACATATCATAATACATATAATTCATGTGTGTGATTTTTTTGTGCACTAATTATGTTAAATGCCATAAGGCTTATGCGATTACAATAGGTTTAAGCTCAATAGTAAGATGATTTTAATCAGAACTAGTTTGGACGGTGTGATGTACAGCAAATGAACTACGATAAAACATGTGATAGAAATATTAAAGAAAACAAAAGCTTAACATTCCAATTTTACACCAAACATATCACTATTGGTTGTATGATACAATGTTTGATTATCTGCTCTTAACTTAAAAGTTTCATGAGAACTATAGCATATTTGATAGGTAAAACTTTTCACCTCTATAAATAAAACATAAATAACAAAAGCTTAACATTCCAATTTTTAAACCAAGCATATTGTTTGGTTTGTCTTGCAATATGAACGACCGAATAATCTATTGTGATATGGCGATCATGGAAGATGTTCTCCATCAAGGCGAAAAGCAAGTATAATTGACTATCAGTCTAACAAGACATTTAACTGCACTGCTCAAACTTCATGAAGCACTAAATATTGATGCAAAACTGTCCATCCAATACCTGATAAACAAAGTTGGATGTTCATTTTTTGAAACACAAAATCCGAGGTTTTGGAATGGATTCGTGGGATCGATGGAAACAGTTGTTCCATTCTTGGTCAATGGAGGGTCAGTATTGGAACATGTTGTTCCTCTGTGACAATTTGACCTACAGAGTAGCACTCCGAAAAACAATCTCCTTGGAGAACGATGTTACAGAGGTGTACGTATTGTTGTACACCGCATCCACGAATACAAAAGTATGGTTTATTTAGTTTTTATACCACAAAATAAATTGTCGTAGAAAAAACAAATCAAAATTCCAGTTTACTGTATAATTGTAGTAAAAAATCCAAACTTATTAGTTTACTGATTTTTTGTGGTCTATATTTTAAAAAGATTCTCTTAACAAAATATGACCAAAGGGAAAATACATGTTTATTCTATTGTCCAAGTTATAGAACCGAATCATTAGCAACATTTGTGGAAACTGGAACTGAGATATTCTGATGAACTATCTCTCAAGTAAGAATATCATCAATTTTAACCTTTTGGCTTTCTCCTGACCAATCAAGAACTTGTCCAAACCTTGACAAATCTCCTTAAACTAATATATTGAGCAGCTTCTACAAAAGAATATATTACAGGAAAAAGATACAATGTTTGATTGTTTGCTTTGAACATTTAAGTCTTGAGACTAAAATTACAAGTTAAAACTGCTTCAGCAGCCTAACAATTTTGTTCTGATACAAATGAATTCCTAAGAGAAACTTAAAAACAAAATAACGAGCTCACTCTTAAAGTTCAGTCACTGTTCAAATGGAGCTCGTATGAACACCCGACCATGCAAGCTTATGACCGCAGATGTGCGCAGCGGATCGATTCTTGCTGGTAAGCTAACAATCTGGTGAAATGATATCAAAAAGATAGAGACAAGGTTCTCAGTTCTGATACATCAGGTCATTGTATAATGGCAATATCTGAAATGTATAAGAAAGTTTTGTTTACCTTTTTGAATGGTGTAATGCCCCAAGGATTGTCAAGCTGCTCAGGCTCGCCTGTTATAATCAGCCGTCCAGCTGGATCTGATTGGATTCGAACCTGAGAAGGATAACAAATTGATGTTCATGACTCTGTTATGACTTCACAAGAAAAGACATTTCGCCAACAAAACTGTATTGAGACTAGAACCAGTTTCTATGTAACTAAAGGTCAAACAATTCAAAGCTCTAAATGGAACTGCTTTGGTAGCTAACAAAACTCCCTGTGCTTGTTGTTCATTGCCACAGTAATTGAAACAGAATTCAAAGACTTCTCTCAAGTAGCTTTTCCTAAAATAGGGTTTCAAGGGAGTGCTTACCTCATGGCGAAGAAGTCCAGGTACCAAAGCAAATACCTCAAAGGAGTTCTTCTGTGATTTTCAAAATGAAAAATAATAAGAAAACAGATTTGGTAAGATATCAGATGGGAAACAAGTAACAGAAAGTTACTCACAGTTTCTTTGACAGTTATCTTCACCCAGTCAGCAAGGGGTCCATCATCAACAACATCAGCAAACGACCTAAGGCACCAGAATCATATTACTAGTTAGGGCCAAGATATAAAAGGAAACTTAAAGTTAAAATAACATTTAAACACAGAGTTGTAAATAAGTAAGAGAAGATTAGCTTTCCGTAACTGTTTTTCTGCTTCTAGTGAAACAATAGGGTCCATGTAAGTTTGTGTTCTGGGTTTTGGCAGCCCTGGAAAAAAAAACATTTAAACACACACAATATTAATCAACCGTTGCTGACAAGAATAGCAGAGCCTTGAGAAATAATTTACCAATGCTTTTGAGTTTCTTATGCTTTGGGGTTGAGTTGGAGCCCTTATCCTGAAACAAAGGGAGAAGATCTTTATGATTCAGGGGAAGCTTCTACAGGTGAGAAATCACAAAGTGGGGTAAGATATGAAAGTGAAACCTTAACAGTAGTCTCAGACTCTCCAGGTCCAACAAGGCGTTGTTTATGCCAACCTTGCATAGCACGAGCTGCAGAATCTCTTCGGGCCCTGCCTGATCCTGAACCTTGATGGTTAATGGCCTACATCAAAGTCCTTATATCAGGAAGAGAAGAACATTTGGAGAGAGTGAAATAGGAGAAGAGTGAACTCTTATGGTAAGCTACTAGGTTATGCACATAGATATATTTCTTTTATATTCACGGTGATTGATGTAGCTGGTTTCTTCATCTGTGTTTTCTACATCTACCCGTCTTTCAAAAGTTGAATAGTGTCGAAAATCTAAAGGCATACAAGCCAGCATTTTCAGAGGAAATTCTTACCTCTTTCTCGAGGCTTGAAGATAGATTGAGTGTTGAATCAGGAAAGTTAAGGTCACCATTTTTCCTTAAACTCTTTTCATACTCTAAAAGTGCCTGCAATCGAAGCAAAGACACAAAAAGACATCAGTGAATTCAAAGTGCCAAGAGAAGTAGTGCAGAGTAAACTGCAATAAGACCAACCATATCAAAAAGAAGGACAAGAGACAAGATAGATATATCATACTTATTCCCAAGAGAGAAACTCACCTTCTCATAGAAAATGCGGAATGTGTAGGAGACAGTTGTGCATGTCCTGAAAAAAGATATTTAAAACAAAAATGTATCTAGTCACCACCATCATGTAGAATCACCAAAATACTAACGGAGAGTCCAAGGGCAATACTTTGGAGGATTGAAAGATTCTCCAACTTGCCGCCATAGCTTTGTTGTGGTGACCTAAATTACATGAAAAAAAAAAACAAAGGAATCTTTAAAGACCAGTAGACATTCAATTTCAGTATAAGATTCAAAATACATTGATTATACACTCCCAAATATAGCTAACAAAAGTAAACAAATATTTATTTCCTGCAAGCATATCAAACACTCTTTAATATATCTGCATAACTAAATAACTTATGAGTAAACAAACTCTCCTCTGAGAGTATTTCCCATATATAATTCATATGTTATTCACAACCCAATCAAACACAATGTTGGTGATAATCATATGAGTCTATTTAAACGACCTAGAAGATTTAACCAACGAACTAAAATGAAGTGGCAATGTTGGAGTTTAAAAAAGTGGATAAGTACCACGTCGTAGCCACCTAGTTTAATGACTGCTCTCCATAGCCTACATTGCATAAGCAAAACATGCAAAAAGTCAGGCACTGATTAACCAGATAATTGTAAGAACAAAAGCAACACTTGTCCAAGAACTCACTTGAGAGCGTTTAAAGGTTGCCCATAAAACTTAAGAGGTTTGTAATCAAGGTAGTTCTCTCTGTGAAAGGTTGCCAACTCTCTGAGAAACTCCTGCTGCTCTTCTAGAGTCCCTGCTTCATCAACTCCCAATGCCTCCTGAAAAAAAAAAACTGAACTTGTAAGAGAAAGATCTTAACCACTACGCTCATCTTCTTTCAACAACAAAACAGTGATATTTTCAATCCGGAGATTACAGTCTGTTGTTACCTCAGAGTCACTGAGCAACCAAGTCTTACGCTTTTTGACACTCCCATCTCCAGTCTCAGGACTTGAGAACTGCACGTTGGCATTAGTCTTCTTTTCACCAGTAGCACCTTCATTACCCCCAAGAAGAAGGGGCTGGTGGTGGGGTTCAGTAAAGTTTTGATCTTTCTCTGCCTCCTCCCCAAGTTGTTCCTTGAGGGCATCATCAGCAACACAAGGCACATCTCGCAACTGCGTTTCTTTGGTATCCTCCATTAAAAAAAAAAGCTTCTCTTTTGATCTGAAGTAAGTCAGAGTCACAGCAAGACAACTTCATTAAAACAAAAACTAGGATAAACCCAAAACTCTTTAAGACATATGGAAACTAAAGTTTGGTGCTTTCGAACCAAAACAAAGAGTAAAGATACTTGCTTTGATACACAGCCTCAGAACTAATCAAAACCCAATACAGAGCAGCAGCAGGGAAACAAAAGAGATAAGCTTTGCCTGTTTCTGCAGCAACGGCGCCGGAGACGAAAACAGGGTAAGGAGAAAGAGGGAGTTCCGGTGGCGCGGCGGAGAAGTTGGAAGAAGCAGTGGAAGACACAGAGAGGACACAAGTAGAGACTATTTTGAAGCGGAGAAGAATCTTTGTCTATGGCGGAAGCTATTATTAAAACCTTCTTTTTTTTTTAATAACAGATTTGCTGATAAATTTTGTTTTTGACTTAAATATAGGTTAAAATTTGTTTATATTTCTATGCTCCATCTTTTATAACTAATGATCTTCATGTAGATTTATGTACAATCAGCTTAATTCAATAATATCAAGTGTTATAAAAAAAAATCCTTTATATTATTACCAAGTATTAGTTTACAAACTTAGAAAACTATATATTTTTTAAAAGTACATCTCTGTTTTGAGATTTGAGAAGATTTTTTATATATAAGGAAAATATTTTATAAAATCTCGTAAATGTCTGACTCCAACAATTTAATTAAGATTAATGTATTTTGTAATACCAAATAGATTTCATAATTATTTAGGATTTTCTGTATAATTTTTTCTGTGTCTTGGAGTTATTTTTCTTCTTTTTTTATTTAAAAAGAGTTTATTTGCCAAATATCTTGTAAAATAGTGGAACAATTTGAGCCTATGGGTTTGGGCCCAAAAAATAACCAAAATGTTCATGTCGAATATGGGCTCAAATGGATCCGTCGTTTCTGTATGATGCGCGAGTTTGCTGGTACAAAATTAATTTAGAGATTTTACAGTAACAACATTAATGATTTCCCACAAAACGCTGGTTGGAATGTGACCCAACAAAGAAACCAAACTAATGAATTATTTATAAAGTTGATATATGATTTCGTTCAGTGCTTGATTCGTAACTTTTGAATCAATCCACTGCCTCCTTTTGCACTAGTTTTAGTGTTGTAATAGACTTGACATGAGGTTAACCATAAACTCCTTGAAGTTGTGGCTATAGTAATCCCAAGGCATCTCTTCTTAAACTTTTTTATTGAACCAGATGAAAGATCCTCCACCATCTTATACACATTCCTGTAATATGAATATTTTTATTTATCATTGTGAGTAGAACGGTGAGGCCATGCAAGTACGGTCAAAATGTAAGTTGCAAGATTTCAAACGAGAGAAGTACCTGTAAATGAAATGTGATTTTTAGATCTCTTGTTGGGAAAGATTTTAGTAAGTTCAAGCCACTCAATGTTCTGTGATACTCTTTGATTTGGGTTCTTGTAAAACATGTCAGACTAAAATCGATATGTTCTTTCAATTGATAATTGATATGTTCTTTCAATGTTAAAGAAGTTGAATACAACAACTGGGAACATAGATCCCAATCAAAAGCAAGATTGGAAAAAACTTGATTATCCATCCTAAGGTAGCAAGATAAGGTGTGCTTGAGACAAGCAAATGAAAAAAGTTGGAACAAACAAGACTACTGAGAGTTCATAAAGAGATCTTCAGAGAGAAGACTTGTCAGGTAGATCATCGAAGTAAGGATGCTCCATTGCCTTCTTTGCTGAGATACGTTTCACTGGCTCATACTCCAACATTTTCTGTTTAGGAACAAAAACGGACACTCAAATGACTTTCTGGTCTGAACTAATCAAGCAAAGGTCTAAGAGGGGTGTGTTTGGAACACTTAGGGACTTACTGATAAGAGATCAAGTCCAGACTCATCGAGATTTGGAACAGCTGTTGAGAGGCTCAAGGGTTTCCATTGTGGGTATTCATGCCAGTCCTTGAGTTTGCTCACTCCAGGCCACACTTGTTCGTTTGGTGTTCCCAGCAACCTGAGTTTCACAGTAATGAAAGAAAGCGAGTAAGCAAATGTGATGTTGAATAAGAAGAAGAAGACAAAGAGAATTACCTGAAAATACTGAGGAGCTGTTGGAGCTCAGAGTCTCCAGCAAAGATTGCTTGCTTGTTCACTAGTTCAGCTACAAACACCGAAATGAAACAAAACAGTTAGCCCTTGTTACAATTACACTGTACTGAAACTAATGAAGCTAAAAGAATATGTACCAAAAATGCAGCCAACAGACCACATATCAACAGCGGTTGAGTAATGGGTTGCTCCAAGAAGGACTTCTGGAGCTCTATACCATAGAGTTAGTATCTGTTGCAATGAAAGAAGAAAAAACACTAAGAATTAAATTCCAGAGAAACAAAGATATATAGGATGTACTTATTATGATACAGGACTTGACTCTAGGCTCATCAACGTAGAATTAAATATACCTCATGTGTATACTTTTTCATAGGGAGAGTGAAGGCTCTGGCTAATCCAAGATCAGCAATTTTGAGGGTCATTTTCTGGCGGTCCATCAAGAGATTGTGAGGCTTAAGATCCCTATAAGAGAAGAAGTAAGATTAATGATGGAGGCGTTGGTCTTGTTAAAAACAGAGAATCAATCTCTTTATACCTGTGTAAGACCCCATGGCCATGGCAGAAAGCCATACCTTTGCATAGTTGGTACATCAAACTCTTCAATCAAAAGGTTTCAAAAGTTAGAATCTCTTAGCATGATGATAAAGTAAGGACAAAACCTCAAAATGTTATTAAAAAAACCTTGACAGTGTTCTGAGGAATATTCTGCCCAGCTTGCTTAAAGCTTCTAATAAACTTCTTGAGATCAGTGTCAACATACTCAAACACAAGGTAAAGCACAGTCTTGCCTTCTTTATTCAACCCTTGCTTAACATCCATCAACCTATTACACAATCGAGACGTTCTTATAAATCAAATTGAGAGACCAACTAAAACCCTAAAAATCAAGATCAAGAAACGTGAGGAAATCAATCACAGACCTAACGATGTGGGGATCGCGAGCGAGCATGCGGAGGATGGAGATCTCGCGGAGAGTGGTGGGAGGAACGCCTTCTTCGTCTTCATGGAGACGTGTCTTTTTCAGGGCGACGATGAGACCGGTAGCTTTCTCTCTTGCTCTGTACACTTTGCCGTAAGTGCCTTCTCCTACTTTCTCTAGCTTCTCGAACGCTTCCATGGCTGATACTGCGGTCTTGGTAACTCCGTTGTTCTCCATAATATCCTCTCAGATGATGTTTGTTTGTTTGTTTGTTAATCGGAGGAAGACAGAGGAGGCGGATGGATGAGTGTATGATTGGTTTTATAGAGAGATACCGATTGATTGTATAATAAAGGTTTTCACAAAGTCACTTAACGGTTCTTTGTTTTTCAAATTTTAAACCGGAGAGCGTCACCATCACTAGGGTTTTTTAGTATTAAATAATAATAAAAAATTTAAAATTATTTGATTTCGGATCCAATTTTGTTCTGATAAAAGAGGAATTACTAGTCAGTGTTTTCATAAAATATTTCTTTCTACATATATTAAATTTTCACGATTTCATTCCTTAGTAGTAAAAAATACACAAAAATCTATATCGAAGGAGAAATATAGGAAGCGTCTCACTCTATAATCCAAAACTTGTTTTTATTTTCTCTCTTTCAACACAACAAAAGTAACATTGCAAAAGAAGGAATGAACACCAAGCACTTGACGTGATTAAAATGATTATGCAAAGAAAGATTCATACGAGTTTATAAAGATTCATACGAGTTGACTACTTTCACTTTGTAACCCAACCTTTTTACCACCATTTGGTAGTGAGAACTTCAGTGTATACGCCTTGAGAACATCCTGGCCTCACTATCTTTCTTAATAAAACTTGCTCCATTTCTTTATTATTCGTTTGTCAAATCTCAGCTTTCAGAGTAACACAAATTCAAAACAAGTTTTTGACACGTCTACTGTTTCGATTTTTGGTCCAGACAAAAACATTAAGGAACAAAACCATACATTTTGGTCTACAACTCAAATACGCATATTACATAAAAGTGATAATGCTCTTCTCCAGAATCCACCAACGCCTGCAAATATAAGAAAGCATGTCTCATTTTCTGACTTTCAAAATCCAAGTTTTAACTGACAAATGCACTAAAAACACTAACCTGAAACACATGATCACTCTTCCATCGGATCTTCCGCGCCAGCTTCTTTGACATCAACGGAGAAAGTATACTCTTGGTCACAACCCAAGTACGAATCGCACATGAAATAGAGTGTGTAAGACTTCTCTCCTGCTTCACTCGGTACTTGGAAATCAAGCTTCACCTTCGCTTTCTTCTGCAATGAGACTCGCTTGATAGCCACCAACTGGTTCGTTTTGGTGTCCCCCACAACCAGCCACCACCCTTCTTCTTTGGTCTTGGGATACCTGGGTGCATCCACGGCTCCCACTTCTGTCCTCCCCTCCATGTCTCTCTCAAGCATCACCTGCAGTGTCACCTCTTTCCCTGGGGTCACATCTTCACTGCCCACAACCTCGTATGTAAGGTCAATGTTTGGGAAGCGGTTGCAGAATCTGGCAATGTCTAAAAGCTCACTGTCCTTCATGTTAAGAAGCCCTTGGCGTTCTTCATCCTCCATCTCCACAAGATCAAATACGGTTTCAATGTTATTCTCCTGGCATCTTTTTGCCAATTCCTTTGTGAAGTGGGGGAGCTGCAAAAGCATCGAGTCACGCTCCCACATGCCTTGAGTCACCATCTGGCTTGCTTCCATTGCTAACAGAGCAAGATTCAGCCACCCATTGCTCGATATCACATCCACCATCGCTTGAAGAAGTCTGGTTGCTGATAGAAGGACCTCACGCTGATCCATTTCCAAGTTCATGGTAATGCCATGCCTCGAGAAATGAGCCTGAAGAAGAGCGTTTGCTTTCACATGAGGATCTGTGCAGTTTGGGTTTTCAAACGAGAACCGCTGGTGATTGATGAGCCTCCTAACTCTGTCCTCTTCGCCAGGCCTTATTGGGATCATGTCATACTCTGAAGCCGACGTTAATATCTCAAGAAGCCCCTTCATCTTAGTTTTAGAAGACAGGAGAGAACTGAAGCGCTCAATGGTGGTGTAACTGATGTAATAATAAGATGAAATCATACCAAGGTTGAGAGCAGAGAGGTCCATCTCATCCTCTATCTCAATACATTTACTAGCTTCAAGATCAGACAAGGTGTTCTCAACCAGCTCTGATAGGTGATCAGACAAATGTCTGTGGGTCACTCCTTGAAGATTGTAGTAGTTAGGGTTCTGGGGAAGCCTCCTGTACATGAAAGTCCATGTAAGATAATCCACTGCATCTTGCTTGTTCTCTATAACCCCAGCAACCACTTCTGCGTTGAAATTATTATGCAAGAAATGCTGGAGATGACTTTCAACAGGGAAGGCTTCATAAAGAAACTTCTTGTAATACTCTTTACGAGGAGCATGACAGAATATCACACACTTTCCAGCATTGTCAAGTAGAGGTCGGCTAGCACGCCCCATCATCTGAAGTAAATCAGAGACCGCATAATCTGAATGTGAATTTTCCCTTCCATCGTAGTACTGCGTCCCCATTACCACCACCAGATGTGCAGTTAATGGAGTGCCCCAACACAATGAACTGCTCATCACACAAACTTGAATGCGTCCAGCTTCAAAGAGCTGTGTCACGATTTCCTGATCCTGTCTGCATAAACCTTCGTGCAAGTACCCAACACCATGGCGCAGTGTCTCCTTCAATGTTTCCTCGCGGAGTTTGTCAACAAAATCATCAAGTTCTTCTAGCTTCCCTAACAGGAAATCAGGGCTCTGTGGGTTGTCAACGTGAGAGTAAGCCATCAGATCCACAGCAGTCAAGCAGACATGTTTACGTGTTGGGACAAAAACAATAGCCGGTTTCTTGTTCTTGGCATGCTGGACTATGGCGGTGTAGGTTGGCTTGGTCATTGCCTGCATTCTGGCTTCAAAACTCGATATATCCACTCCTTGAATGTGGATCTCCAGTGGAACAGGACGGACTCCAGGAGGGAAATTGAAGAGGCCGTGAGAACTGGCCCCAATCCACTCCCCAAGATCTTTTGCATTTGCAAGTGAAGTGGAAAGCGCAACAATCCTGATCTTATTATCACCCTGACTAGAAATATATCTCATTCTAGAGACTATCACCTCCAGCACTGTGCCACCTTGGCCTTCACCAATTAGATGAAGCTCGTCCACAATGAAAAGACTAACTTGTTGAACGTATTTTCTCTGTTTCCACCTGCGAGAAAGAGCATCCCATTTCTCAGGAGTACTTATAATTATCTGACTTTTCTCCAGCAGCTTAAGATCCAACGCTGTCTCTCCTGTCAGCTCAACAACCCGTAAACCAAGACCCTTCCCAAACTTCCTCTCCCAGATGCGAAACTGCTCCTTAGCTATAGCCTCCATCGGTGCAATATAGACAACACGCATAGTAGCATCAGGTCCACTTTGACTTTTAGTATCATCTTTCTGCCTAAGGAGTACTTCTTGATGATTCTTCAATATAGCAAACTCAGCACATATAGTCTTCCCACTTCCTGTTGGAGCAGCAACCAACACATTGTCGTTAGTGTTATACAAAACCGTAAAGACCTGAGTCTGCACCGGATTGAAATGCTTGAAATCCTGATAGAGTCTCTCATAATTCGGATTCCTAAGCGCTGTGACAGGGAGGGGCTGCAAGTCCAGTAGCTCTGTGGGTGGTGGGTACTTTTCTGGAAGTATAAGGTGCCTAAAAGATACAGGCAACACTGTCTGTGAGCCAAGCCACTTGTCTGACACCACTCGGACAAAATACTGAGGTGGCAACGGTTCAAAGATTGGGACAGTGAAGTTTAAAGTGTGATCCTCACTGATATACTGCTTCTTCAATAGAAAATACTCATGATGAAGGATCTTCTCACAGTCATTGTCTTCCACAATAACCCAAAACGGCTCAACATACTTATGAACTTTTTCGTCCCACTGGAAATCGGGTGTAATCGTGAGCTCCACCCGAAGAACAGTTCGAGTAATAGGCTGAACTTGTGCTGCAAGAACCAATTTTGGGAACTGGTGGATGAACTTGTGAAGCGGTCTGCCCATCTTAGGACTACGAATAAGCTCTCCTAGCTCTTGTGACGATAGGTCATAGTACCTCTCCCACACCAAATCCTTCTTCTCCAGCTTCATCAAAATCTCATTTGGAATTCCATGGAACTGACGAAGAGGTGTCTGGACACTCCACATCCTCTTCCCAACCATTTTAGACAAGTTCAGAGCCTTCTCAGCCAGTTGAGCCCATCCACGCTTCAATACAATTTCATAGAGAGCTCGTACAAGACGTCCAGCGCTCTGAAAAATGATTGAACAAAATGAGACATAAGCACCAGAGAACAGATACAGCAATTTACTAATGCAACTACGAGAGATGAGAGAACAAAGCAGAGAGAACAAGGAACAAACCAGATAACAGATACAGCGACTTAATAATCTAGGAGTCATGAGAGAAGAAAGCAGAGAGAACAAGGAACACACCAGAGACCAGATACAGCAATATAATAATGTAACTACGAGAGATGAGAAGAAAACAGAGAGAACAAGGAACAAACCAGAAACAGATACAGCAATTTAATAACGTAACTAGGAGAGATGAGAGACGAAAGCAGAGAGAACAAGGAACAAAACAGAGAACAGATACAGCAATTTATAAACGTAACTAGAAGAGATGATATAAAAAATCAGAGAGAACAAGGAACAAACCAGAGAACAGATACAGCAATTTAATAATGTAGAGATGAGCGAAGAAAGCAGAGAAAACAAGGAACAAACCTGAGTTATATAGACCATGTCTGATGTCAAAGAAAGACCCTCAAGCTTTAGCTGTGAAATGTATGCCTGTAGCAAGACATTAATCTTTGCACTGGGCTCCTCAAGAGTTTCCTTGATCGGAATTGGCACACGATCCAGAAGTTTGGCCAGTTCCATCTTCTCATCTTGCCGAACAGTCACATACTTGAACTCCTCACTCAGTGAGAAGAGACGATAGAGATCTATATCACCCATCGTTGGCTTCAAATGCTCATTGTACGTAGCTATGGTCCCGTGACTTATATAGTAGTAGCTCGCAATCCGTCCCAAATCAGTAACTTGGAAATATCCACTTTTCCTGTCATACTTAACCAAGTTGTTTTTGTCCAAGATAGTAGCAGCTGAGTGTATCTGCAAAAAAAAAAGTTTCAAGTAAACGTTAGACACAGACGGCAATAAATGATATTTTTAAATTTGTAATCAACTTGAAGGATAAAAAAGTATGCAAAGTTGATAGTAACAACTCATCATGAAGCGCACATAGTAGAGACTGGGAAAGCTTAAGATAAGGCATTACGATAGCAAATAAATTTAACAGTAGATAGCAAGAATGCAGGTTAAAGATGAAACTACGTACCAGGTCAGCTCTTCTTTCCTCCAAGACTACGTCTTTTACAAGAGCATCAGGCGCTAAACCATACAGCGTTGGATTACGAACCATACGGATGTAGAGATACGTATAGCCAAGCCAGTGGCAAGCCTCTTTAGCATTCTGAACAGTTCCAAGAACAATTTCAGCATTAAGCTGATCAGCAAGTTTGGAAATGAACTGGCTTTCAATGGGTAGCTGCTCATTCATCAGAGACAGATAATACTGCAGCTCGCTGTAGCCAGTGATAATAATACCCTCCCCATATTGATCATACTGAGGTCTTCCAGCACGACCAAGCATCTGCATGACATCCAAGGGACTGAGCTCCATCCACGCCCCTTTCTCAGGATTATAGACCTGTGTTCCTTTGATTATGACTGTATGAGCAGGCAGATTCACACCCCACGCAAGAGTTGCGGTGGAAACCAAGACTTGTACGTGTCCTTCACCAAAAAGGGCCTCAACTATTTCACGATCACCCCTTGTAAGCCCAGCATGATGAATAGCAAAACCGTAAGGCAGAAGATTTTTCAGATCAGCATTCTTAATAAGTTCAATCTGACTCTGAAGAACTTCACGACTTGCACTGTCTTCTTTCAAGAATCTGCTGAGTGTATCGTTCGCCAATGCGGTGTCCACTATTGCAGTTGCAGTTTTTGCTGTTTCCTTCCTCGAATGAACAAAAATAAGAGATTGTTGCTTTCCAGCACCAGCCAATACTTTCTGATAACAAAGATCATTCATCAGCTGGAACCTCTGCAACGGTTTTTTCACACTGATTCCAATATATTGCTGACCAAGAGGCACTGGTCTGTAGCTGCGGTCGAATTTAAACAACCCTTTCTTAAGATCAACTCGCAAAAATAAAGCCACATCTTCGTAATTTGGCAGTGTAGCTGATAAACCAACCAAGCGAATATTCTCCTTCGTGGTTTCAATCTGCCTAAGGGTCCTAGCGACAATGCTTTCAAGCACAGGCCCTCGATTATCATGAAGAAGATGGATCTCATCAATTATAAGAAGTTTCACAAGCTGGGTGTAAGTGCGATCACCAGACTTCCTTGTGATGATATCCCACTTCTCTGGTGTGGTGACAATAATCTGGGTTTCCTCAATTTCCTTCCCACTAAGGGACTGATCCCCACTGAGTTCCCTCACAGTGACTCCATAATCCTTCAGACGATTAGACAGGTTACTGACAACCTCAGCAACAAGGGCTTTCATCGGTGCAACATACACGATTTTGTAGTTTCCATGGTTGAGAATTCCATCTTCGTTCCTACTGGACTCAATTTGCTGCACTATGGTGAGCATGGCAACATTGGTTTTCCCAGCACCAGTTGGAGCACAGAGAAGTATGTTATCTGCCTTAAATAGCGCTGTATCATACACTTTGCTCTGAACTCTGTTCAACTGTTGCATTCCCTTAAAAGCCGGTTGAGCCCAAGCTGGCATCTCGGTGATCTTGATAAGCTTCTCATTAGGATCCGGCTTTTTAGAAACCCATGGCACATGAACTTCATCATATCCCTTGCCATGAGTTCTGTAGGAGCCAGCTGGAAGGTCACACTTCTTATTCGCCATCAGAAGACCACCTTGGTCAAAAGCCAAGCTCTCCAGGTCCAGCATCTGACGCTGACCCTTCAACCAACCACTCTCTAAATCTCTATCAGCAACATCTCTCCTGCCTCGACCTCCATCTCCAACAGTTTCATCTTTCAAACGTCGGGCTTCTTCATTAATACTTTTCTGCAGATTCTCCTCTCTCTCTTTGGCTGTTGCTCTTGTTGCATGCAACTGCTCCACAATTGCTGCCAATTCCAGGCCCAACCCTCTCATCTCCTCTTCAATTCTATTCCTTTCTTCCTGGTCTTCTGCCCTAGCCAAACGGGTGCACCACACAACTTTAAACCGGTTCCGGAGCAAAAACTTGACGAGGCTGAACTTTTCAAACTGAAGATGCATAAGCAGCTTGTTCTCAACATCCCTATCATCCCCTTCAGCGAGTATCTTAAGCAGCTCTTCAGCTAGTACTTGGCACTGTTGCGGATCAATCTGCTGTTCATAAGCCTGAGAAATCTTTCTCTGGAGCCAGTAAGCATCAATATCCTGAACGTTCAGACTGGTGCCCTCATTCGCATCTCCTGCATCCTCTTCATTTATCCCAGCATCCACTTGCATCCCTCCAGCTTTCTGAGGTTCTTCATCATCTTCATCTTCTTCGTCCTGGACCATATCAGGATCACTCTCCTCGTCCTCTTCTTCATTCTCCTCAAACTCAACAGCAACACCAACATCATCATCAAGCCCCTCATCCTCATTTGCTTTACCACCACCAGAATCACCACCCTCTTGAAAGTCGGTGATCAACTTCCCAATGGAAACAAGCTGATCAAAAATCTTATTAATCTGATCCGGTATAGGGTTCAGCAGCTTCTGAATCTCAACCTTCTTTTCAGCGTTCTTCACTGAGTCATTCTTGAGAACAGCCAAGATCTCATCTGCAGCACCACTAACAATATTCAAAGGCAACCCACCCAGCTCCTGCTGAATTAAACTAAGCATAGCCTCATAAGCAGCCCTTGTCTCCTTAGTCTTGGGCTGATAAACCACATCATCAGTATCCGTCAGCACACTCTCCTCCCTAAGCCTACGCCTCTTGCTCTGCCGAGCAGGAACAGCATCATCCGCAACATCACGCTCCTTCTTCTTCGACTTCTTGAGCTTATCCTCCAGCTCCTGAGGCCTTCCCTTAGCAACTCTATCTCCAAAAGACTTGGGATCAATCTTCCCCCACAGAGTCTCAGGCTCTCCCGTAGGCTCATGTGTATCGCGAGGACGATTCTCACTTGTTAGCACCAAGCTAGAGTTGGCTCTGTACTCATACTGCTTGAATCTAGCGTGAGCTTCCGCTCCGCCTCCCAAGTTCGCCATCACTGGAAACCCTAAGATTTCAAAATCAAACCAGATAAAACAGTGTTAGCCACGAATCGAAATCTCTAATCGGAGATTTTGAAAACCCTAATAACCGCCGTTAAACGAAGCAGAGAGAGAAGGAAACTTACGGTGAAGACTGAAGAGCTACGATATCTCTTCTACAGCTCGAATCTTCTCTCTGCAGAGAGTGAATCTCGTGGAAAAAAGCTTCGTGTAGATATTAGGGTTTCTTCTTCGTTCTCGCGTTCTCTAACGTCCTCAGATTTGAGGAACAACAACGGCTGCGAAACCTTTAACTTTTGTTGAGTATTCATAAGCGTATTAACCGAACCCGAAACCCAAAATCGGCCCAAGTATTCAGGTCGGTTCGTATTAGGTTTGCCTATTAACCCAAACTCGGCCCAATTCTAAACATATTTTTAACTTGTTTAAAAAATTGGATTGCTGAACCAAACCAGATCGGTTATTATACATCTCCCTAATGCTATTCACCATTACTTTCAAATGCTTTGAAGAAATACTTTATGCGTCTTTAAAACTAATGGTTTGATATTTCATTTTTGATATATAAATTATTTATATGTTTGTTTTTGTCTAAACTAAAATTGACAGATCCTACGTTTCACATCACAAGACAGTGAGTTGAAATAAAGTGGTTAAGATAATGGGAAATAATTGGACTTATATGTATTCACGAGTCATCGCCACCTCCAATAGTGACCCTGAGGGGAAGCAAAGGAAACATAGATTTCCGGCCTTTTTTGTGTTAATAATTTAGCGGCCACAAAATTTAGAAAAACCTTAAGTATTAATTTGATATTACGTTTGATTTATTTTGATGTGTTCGCAAAAATTTAATCGTGTGAAAAACAACAAAGGAGAAACGGTTCATCTACCATTTTTATTTTAAAACAGAAAAAAACTTTATATTCTTAGGGCTGACTGGTTTTATTTTTGTATATTAATTTGTATTAGGGGGTTTTGGTTTATTATATCGGATTATTATACATTCCAATTTTATAAAACATGGAAAGATTCGCGAGTAGCACTCAGAGAATTTGCAAAAGATATTATCTTGATTGTATGAAGCTTTAGCATGTAATATATTGAGGATTGGAAAAATATTCATATACAACAATATGTGCTTATTGATATGACTAAAATAGAAATTACGCCGGCGTTCGTGGTAAGAAGCATGTTGCACAAGGAAGTTGAGAGATTACGCTCAATACATTGCACGTTTGATCTTGTGATTGGACGACCACCATGTGACATTTGAGTACTCTCTTTCATTTTCCTTTTTTTGTTACTTTGTTCCTCCAACGAACCATGGTTACATTCTATACTGAATTAGTGCCAAACTCTTCATAACAATTCCTTTTCAGTTTCTAAGATTCTGTTTTCGGTTTATAACAATATACTTTCGTTTTCTTTTAGAATACTTGCTTTCTTATTAAATAACTTGTTTAGATTAGTACACTAAATCAAACTAACAAAATAAAAATCTCTTAAAAATTTACAGTTCATTCTGCGAATTAAAATCAGTTTTGTTAGTTAGATTATTTCTTTCATGTAAACTATATAAATTATTTTTATCTGGTTTTATGTTATAGATAAATTTAAAAGTCTATATATATATATGATTTAAAAGTAATTTTATATATGATACTCATATTCTGCAAGAATATATCTGACTATATTCCTTTTTAAAAAAAGAGATATGACTATATTACTATTTTATAAATAAAATTAGGAAACTTTAAATTACTCTTAGAAGACAGTGATCAAATTAAAAGTCAAATCATATATTATATTAAATTCAAACACTACATTATATATGATAATTCATTTTCTGCAAGAATAGATCTGACTATATTACTATTTTAAAAATAAAATGGAAAACTTTAAAACTCTTAAAAGACAAAGTATACTCGAAAACAAAATACACTAATCAAATCCAAGAATTTATATAGAAATTAAACCAAATATATATACCGACATATAGCGACAATGCAACATGTATCCGTATTAGACTGTTAGTATATATGAGTATATTGTAAAAACAAATTTGTTCCAAAAAACGTTGGGAAGGAGAATTGGAGGAAGACATTAGATACAGTCGCTGCAGATCTATTATTTATGTCAAATAATGCCACGATGAAGTTATTAATCAGGGTTTTTAAAATTCTATTGGAGCCTAATGTTGAAACCAAATTAACAACTTCATATTATGCGGTTAACCAAGCAGCTAGCAGACAAGAAATTAAACAAATTCTTATCAGGAGTGCATTATTCATTTAACACTAAAAAGAGAACGTGATAATAGAAACAATCAGCAAACATTTTGAGCTAATGCAAAATTATTATAATGAATTAACTTCTTTAGGCAAGATCACAACCTGGAATGTTGGAATGTTCCAGTAGTGTTGCGTACATTGACAAGTTTATGAAATAAGTCCATAATATATATAATATTAATGAACGTTTAGTAATGTTAGCAGTCCATAATTGGTGTGTGTTGCAACATTCGTTAACTGGTTCCCATGACCGTTTCTAGATACTACCTCCAAGCTCAAGCTAAAAGTCTAGGCACTTATTAGTTACAACTTTTTTTTTGCCAAAAATTATTAGTTACTACATTGAAATTAAATTAGGTTGCTCGAACTATAGTGTGCCATACTCAAGAAATAAGTTTTACAAAAACTTTAAAAAATAACATAGTGAGAGATGTAGTATTTGGAGAACAACACATAGATTAGTGAAATTATGGTTCAATCCATTGCACTCGTCTTTAAGTACCAACTTCAAAGTATCAAAAAAAAAACTTCAAAGTTATTTCAACTATCTATCTTGGTTTTCTATTTCATGCATAGTATACTTTCGAAACTGTCACCAATTCAAACTATTAAATATATTGGATTTAACTTTTAACAGTAGCTAACTTTGGTAGGGAATGTGAGAATTGATGTAGAACGAGTAAAAAGTAGACACGACATGATTAAAACGGGACAAGCCTAACAAAGATAGATTATGATAATGCTAAACCTCATTAATAGCGATTTTGATGACAACGTCGTCATCTTCAATAAGAGAAGAGGAAGAAAGACAACAAGCCACTTGCACGCGCGTAGGGACCGGAACATAAAACCGTACGTGTATGACTGTGCAGGGGCGGATCCAGAAGCCTTATTAGTTGGGGGCACAATACAAAAACAAAATCCAGAAATATAAAGAACATGTGGCATTTTTTATTTTTATTCACTGAAACTAAGAATATTAGGTGAAATTTACTTGAGCTACATAAGAAAAAACAGAAAACAGTAGGGGTCACGTGACCCCATACCACATAGCCTACGTCCGCCCCTGTGACTGTGAGATGTGGGTGTGGCCTCACTATCTTTTGTCTTGTCCGATCTGTTCGATGTACACAGAAGGAAGGATAGTTTATTTATCTATACCTAACGTGATGAAGACTACTTCCCCGTAACGTGGTGTCGTTATTCAGGCTTCGAATAGAGACGGTGTAGGCTACGAATAAGCCCATGTACATTTTAACTCTATCTTCGATTAGACAATTTGTTAGGCAACATTAATTTGTTAATTCTTAGGAGCTCCATGTCTCAAAAGGAATTCGACGATAGTATCATTACAACTTATCTGATAATATAAGGTTTTCAAATGATAAACGAGAAAGAGACATTAAAAGGGATCCATCAGCTCATAGCCTGAAGTGATGACTAGAAATCTAAAAAATGTAGCCCGAGGTTTTAACTGTAATCATTTTAAATAACTTCAGGATTCCGGTTGTAGTTTTTTATTTTTATTTTTTTTTATCGATCATGGATATTTATCTTCATAAATTATAGAGATTTGGGGTCATGGGTTATCTCGTGCATGTAAGCACATCCTTATATCACTATATGTATGTATCAATACATTCATTCATTTCTTCTTTGGGTAATTTTACTTCTAGTTTATATTATACTCGTGGGAGTCAAACTTATTAGTTATACATAAGCAATAATAAAACTATAGAATTCGAAACAAAGTTTTCTAACGTTTTTCTTTTTTTTTTTTTTTTTTTTTTTTTTTTTAAACATT